ATGCTCAGAGGAAATCAAAATTTCACATGGATACCTCCCTGTACTTACATAAAAAAAATAAAAAAATAAGGTGACTAAGAAAGCACCGATTTTCGACAGATTCCCGTCTCTCTGTACTTTGAGGGCCTGTAACTCTGGTGCATCTAATCAAGGCATGCAACATTTTTTTGAACATGGTCACACTCCAAATAGTTACTGCAGAAAAGAAAATCAGCTGATTCTGAGAGGGTCAGCAGGGAGGAGCTCCCTAATTTGTCAGTGTGAAGGAGTCGATTTCTATTGTACCACCAGGTGGCAGTGTTTGCTCTCCTCTCATGTACAGACTCTTGATTCTTATGCTACAGATTTTTGTTGTTGTTTCTTTTTTAAAATGAGTGAAATAAGAAGCATCCATTATTTATACCCTTGAGGTTTCTTGAAGTTTTATTTTTCGTTTATTTTGCTTGATTTTGTGTGATCTATATGATTACTGTTCCATATTTGACTGACTAAAATTAAATAAGTCTGAATCTAAATCTGCATCCTTAGATCTGAGTTTGAAAGAGTCACACAGAGGTTATTTTTAATGGCTAAACTGAAATCCACAAATGCTTTGAATTTAAGCAAAGTGAAACTCGAGGAAAGAAAACAATATAAAAATTATATCCAATAACATCTATAAATCCAGCCAGTTAAATGAATATCAGAAGTATAATACACAAAGTAGTGTGTTGTGTGGATGCGTCTGCATGTGGAAAAACCTATCATCTCACTCAAAGTCACAAACTCACAGATCATTGCTGCCCAGCTGATCGTTTTGGTTTTATAACTCACAATCTTTCATCGACTTTTTTCCACAAATGCAATAAAAATTCAACAAAATAAAGTAAAATTTTAGAAAAGTAAAACACACTAAATTAGCCTGCATTTGTTTACTAAATAAATATTTACTTTTTTTTTTATATTTTCATCCATATGAGACACCATGTGACTGATCCACCATTGAACAGGCCCCACGCTTTTATTTTGAAGGTTCAGTTACTGCTAACTTGCTGGCTGTAGCCCTTCATGTAAGATGTGCCCCTGTCGTTATGCTGATGTACTCGTGGTTTGTTTCACTTGCAAAGCTAGTGCTTTTTAGGCTGCGTGTTAAGTTTGCTGGGGGTTGGATGCAGAATTCCAGGATCCCAAATCCCAAATTAAGGACTCAAGAAAAACAATGTAGATTTGGGAAAGGAGAAAACGAAACGTTAAGCTCTCACACAGCAGCCACGATTAACATGTGTCACCCCCATGGAGCCGCACTGATTCACTGATATCTCACTATCACTCAGTCACCTCCATGAAGGAGCTGAAAAGTCCCCCATTTGTTTTAGTTGTGTGTGTGTGTGTGTGTGTGTGATAGAGAGAGACAGGCTGTTATGTGTGGGTTTGAGATGATTGGCACCATCGGCCCACATGCTCGCGCTCTCCCTCTGCTGTACCTGTCCAGGCTGTGACTGTTTGCTCCAGGAAGCCAGAGTCAAACCAGGATGCCTCCTTTCTAAAGGGATGGTTTTATTCTGAAAGTGTGCGCTGTGATCTGAAAGGGTTAGTATATCATTTTGATTGCATGCAGGGAGCTTTGACAGGTTTTCATGCTCAGTGCTTTTAGGGAAAGCGACATCAGTGTGGTGCTGGGTGAAAAGTACATTAGCAGGTGATTCATTTTAGCTTCTGAGAAGTCTTGATATGAGTACAGAGGACCAGCTCCAGGGGACTGAAAGCACCAGAACTGAATTAAATTAACAGTTTTGAAGCTTCATTTTCTTATTTTT